GAAATTTTCATCGAGATACTAACACTTGGACTTGGCTTATTGGTGCACTTTGGTAAGTCCCACATGTTTAGTGCTTCATTTTTAGAATTGAAAGCTGAACAGGAACAAATTTTTTTAAAAAATTCGAAATTCGAAATAAAAGTTATTTTAAAATAAGAACCATCACATTTAAGAAGTTAATGAACATGTAGTAACTTAGAACTGGTTTGAGAGGACTCTTTTTTTTTTTTTGAAGAAAGAAAAGATGAGAACTTAAGTTTGACATTTCATTTGCTATCTCCTGAAAATAGTGCGTCCGCTTAATATGCATGAGGCCAAGTCACTTTAGAGCCTTTTCTGTTTACGTGGCAGTTAATAAATCCTAAACCCTAGACAGACAGTTTTATTTTCCCTATATGTAGGAGGCGAGAGACAAATGAATTAAATTTTTGAAAAGGCAAGCAACTACTTAAACAGTGTAAAGCACATACTGCTTAAGACATTTTAGATGCATCAGCTGCAACTTACACCGACAAAACTTGTTCCCTGTGGCGTAGCTCTACGGTAATTGAATTGTAGGCCATGTAGTAGGAACGTGCGTACCTGTAAAAGGTTTGGATGAAAAAACTGACAAACGTGACAGAGGAAAGGGGTTTAAAAGAGGAGAAATACCTGGACGTGTGCATTGTAAATTTCTGACCAAGAACATGAGATCCGTACAGTCTGATGTCAATAAGAATTTAGTTTTGACAATTATAAAATTGAAAGCTGCTGTCTTAAAACAAAATGTTGACTACCCATAATTGATTTGTCTAGTACCTTTAGCTGATAAGGAACATTCCTTATAGTTCTGTTACTTATTTCTTGTTCTCTTTTTTCGATTTCGTACCAATTTTTAAGGCCAGACCAAGGTTATAGCTCTATTGTTGTGTTATTAAAAAAAAATCGACCCAAGAAAGGAATATGTTCGGGAAAGGTGCTCCTTTCGTAAAACACACCTAGGAAAGTTCTTTGGAACAACCAAGCTGTGACTTTTGTTTGGGCACCTACCTCTGGCGAAGCTGATCATTAAAACAACCGCGACAAAAACAATAAAGGAGTCGAAATGCAAAGACGTAGAGTCCAGATTCAAGTGCGCTGAAAAACATATGCATAAAAATGACTTATCTATAAGTTTTGAATAGCCTAGTTAAGTTGAAAACTGGTAGTAAATTCGTAACATAATTATTTAGCGGATCAATACCTCTTTTTAAGCGTTAAATTCTAAATATTTCATCATCAAACTACTTTAAAAAGCCTTTGCCTAATTCTATCTATTTTTCTCTACAGTTCTTGCCACAGAATACAATCGCGTTTTAATATTCAAGGGGCCAATAGAGGGTAAAATACTTCTGGGTCACGTGATAAGGACGGAGAAGGTGCCAAATGAGGGGAGCTGCCGTGTGAAGTGTTTCTTGGAGCCCAACTGTGTGTCTATAAATGTGGGTCCTGTGGACGATCAAGGACAGCGCCCCTGTGAGCTAAACGACTTTACAGCTGAAAGTGCATCACAGACTGGCTTGGAGGAAAGGACAGGCCACATTCACTATGCAGTTGAGGTATCACTGAGATATTTTTGATTCTTGATTAACTGCAAAGGTTTGAGAAGCTTATTTACCAAATTAAGACGATCATTATCCTGTCATTTGTGACAAAAAATGGCCAAGTTTATCATACTCGCATCATTTAATGTTGTTTGCAAAACGCCAATTTCATTCGCTTATATATTACTATAAAACTGAGACGGGTGATGAGTAATGTAAGCCACAAACGTTCAGGTTAGCAAGAACTTTGTTTCATTGAAAGGTAATCCAGTACAATATTGACATTCGGGAAAGAGAGCTTAGTATGTAAACGAAAAAAAAACGAATTAAAGGAACTAACTATCTTTCCCTTTTAAATAATTTTATGATGCATTGATGGAGTATCTATTTAAAAGAGCAAAAAGAAAAAAAAGAAGAAGAAGATGTATTAAAGTAATTTGAATGTTTATCATGTTTTCCAGCAGAACTTTTGTCACAGTAGTTCATGCCCTGGAGAGAACTTCATCTGCCAGGTAGGCTTCACAGCTAAACACTACCGATGTGTTTGCGTTGATGGGTTCAAAGGAGAAAAGTGCGACGAAGGTATGCCTCCTCATGTTGACTTCGTGATTTCTATGTTGTGTGTTAGCAAACTAATATCAGGACAATAGTTATTTCAAACCTGTTCGTTTATCTTGAGACACAAATTTACTGTGAATGTAATGAAAATCGGCTGATATATAATCAAAGGTGGGGGATATGAGTTTGCATGTACCACATGATTTTTTGTCTATTTTTAATTACTTGTTTTTTCGCAGCATCCTGTAAAGCGCAATGGGCAACTTTTGGGTCTTCGAAGTATAACCTGTGCAAATCACCCCAGAAATGGAAAAATGCTAAACTGATCTGCCAGCATTTTGGTAGTAAGTTAGTGAAGATTGAATCTGAGAAAGAAAATGAATTTATAAAAAGAGAATATTTGAGTAGTGAAGGTCCTTACTGGATTGGACTTTCCGACTCTGATAGTGAAGGGGAATGGAAATGGACAGACGGAACTGGGTTAACTGGTTACCAAAAGTGGAAAAGTGGCCAACCGAATAATAAAGACGGCAGGCACGATTGCGTAGCCGTATATGAGGGGAAAGCAAAATGGAACGACGTAAGGTGCTCCAGAAAACTGGGATTCATTTGCGAAAAGTGAAGCTGCATATTCTTATTTGGACCTATAAAGTTGGCGCTCTTAGAGTCATGCAAATGTTTTCAAATATATTTGCACCGAAACTATCATTATTTTTTGTTATTGTTATGAATCCGAATGTCGTAGTGCCAAGAGAAGTGGAAGAAGCTGGCGGAATTGGATGTCTAGAGAATCTTTGCTTTATCTTTCAGTGTGGATCAATTGTATTCTTGGTTTAATTCGTTACTTTTTTAGTCTGGTAATGTAAAATGAGTGTAAGAACAAAATAATGTTTTCTTGGTTTAAACCAAACTAAAGAAATGGGAACGTGAGGCGGGGAACGGACACGCGGATCAACTTGAAAATAAAAATTTGGAACAAAACCTAATCTGAACCTTAAGGCTGGTTTTCACTAGCAACAGAGTTGGAGTCGGAGTCAGAGTCGGAGTCATAAAGGCTGGTTTTCACTAGCGACGTAGTTGGAGTCGTAGTCAGAAGCGTAGAGCTTATGATCTAGTGAAAAAAGCGTTCCGATTCCGCTTACGTTCCGCTTATGATGTAGTGAAAACCAGATTGTCGGAGTCGGAAGCAGAAGCAGAAGAACCAAACCAATCACAAAGCGTGGGAACGTGCATTGTGATTGTTTTATCCTTCCGCTTCTGCTTCCGACTCTGACGACCTGGTTTTCACTAGATCATAAGCGGAACGTAAGCGACGGAGTCGTCAACGGAATCGGAACCCTGTTTTCACTAGATCACGAGGTCTACGCTTCTGGTTACGACTCCGACTCCGTCGCTAGTGAAAACCAGCCTTTAGCCCTATCAGTAGCTTCATTCCCAGCTCTACTTTCAGTTTCCATTTTTCATTTTACCGTTTCCCGTGCTCGTTCATCACTTCCCGTTCCCCCGCTTTAGTAAAATCCCAGGCTCACAAACCCAAAAACAGCATTTAAAAATCGTGGTCTGAAAGTATGCATCATGATAACAAGTGGTTCACGCCGCAGTAGATGCAAGGTATGCACTTATATAAGCCTGTATTAATTTACCTGGGTTCTAAAAGTTCAGAGAATCCTGGTAACTCAAACTCTGAAGAAAAACGAAACAGTTCGGGATCAATTGAACATACAATTTGCCCTTGTTAATAATTGATAGTTACCGATTTTCAGCACCTCAGTGCTTTTAGAGTACGAGTAGTAGTCGCTTCTTGGAGATTTTTATCCGGCAAATACTAGAACGCAAGAAAGTCACCTTCCTTAATCATACTGATGGTATTTGTTTCTTTACTGAATTTTGTCTCGTTAGGAATTATTCGCCGAAGGTGAAGTTAATGTTGTTGAATGACCCCCAAGTTGAATCCCAGAAAATTATTTAACAACATTAACTTGAAGAAAATAATTGTTTAAAACATTTCTACTTAAAAATATAGGTACCAAACGAGGATAATAAGCCATTTCCGAGTTCACCCGGGCCTCTGTATCAAAGTGCTGAGCCTTTGATATGGAAATAATTTTTCATTCTAATGCAAATTTTCACAAGAACGGTTGCGCACTTTGGTTGATAGTGAGGGTTTATGGAACTCGGAAGTGGCCTACTGTTTTGGATATATTTATTTGGGGAACTCATAAATATTCAGTAGGTATATTGTCCATTTAAATCAGGATTTATTTGTCACATGCAAGAACCTTTGAACAATAGAATGCTAGTAATTGGTATAACTAGTCATAATAGGTTGAACATGTTATTAACATGAATTTTATTTGAAACAGTCATCCTAGTTTACAGACCGATAAAATTCTGAAAATAAATAAATAAATAAATTGACAATGATTTGGAGAAACATAAACGTGTAAAACTACCGAAATGAAGTTCCGACGAGCAAAACATATTCAATCCGTGAGAAAGTCTTTGTCTAACTTTCTCCATTCATGAAAATTTAGAGCACTTTAACTCCATTTTAAGTTGCATTAATTTCAATTCCTTGATAATGGCGTCATGATGTTCCCGAAAGGTTGGAGGAACCATTTTTTGCGTTAGTTTTTACATGTTTAAATAAATAAACAGAAAAAGGGAAGAAAAAAAGAAAATGAACAAAAAATAACACAAGTCAAAAAGAGACGTTCAGAGGACCGAACGTATTTTAAAATGAAAAGCAAAGTGGGCACGAATTTCCGCCCAACCCCATGTATTTACAGAACACAAGAGGAAGAAAACGAAAAACAAAGAAAATGTTTCTCCCAGTTGTTTTAAACAAAATCTCGTGAACCCTAATTCCTTAAATAACCCGTCCGTTTGTCTGTTGTTCAGTGTTGTTTTTTTCACTACTCCTGGATCTTTAAAGATGTTCTGACCTCTTCATTTTCAGTCATTTCCCCAATATTCAAGGCTAGTTTTCAGTGGTGACAGGATTGGATCGGAATATGACCGATTGATTGAAAAGAGCGTTTCTGATTCAGCTACGACTCTGTTGTTGTTTCCGACCTCTTGAATGAAAATAGGTTGTCTAAGTCAGACGGAAAAAATAGAGATGCTAATTAAAACTAATCATTAAAGCATAGGGACGATTTTTTAACTTCCTGCTTTTGCTTAAGTAAGTAAATAAGTAAATAAGAAATTAATAATAATAATAATAATAATAATGTATTGGGCTATTAACAATGTAAAATTTTTAATTGCGTGTTACAATGATAAAAACCTAAAAATTTAAAATTGAATAGCTATAAAATATGTAAACTAAAATGTATATAAAAATGAAAAGTAGATTTTAAAAGCTGTCGCAAATAAAAAGGTCTTGGCAGCTTCCTTTAAACTTTGCACGGATGTGATGTTCTTTTAACGTAAACGGAAGATCGCTCCATAGTTTAGGGGCGGCTATTACGTAACACGTGGACGTCTCGTCGGATGCAGGTTGAAGAGCAGGTGAGTCAATAGGATCAGTCTCAAGCCGTCGGTATCTCGATACAAGCGTGGTACTCCCCACCTGCCTAGTAAGTCAAAGGATCGGCAGTCTCGCGAGATATATTTGCAGCGAAATGCAAACTCTTCCTTTTTTCGCTATATTAAATCTTGAAATGAAGACGAAGAAGGGAGATCAAATCAAACGATTTTATCACGTGATACGTGTTATCCAATAAGGTAGCAAGCAAACAGCCCATTCGAGTCAGTATTAGCCCCGGGCATTTTTCTTTCAAAACGTAGCCCGTGGTGGAGAACAGTTCATATGAAAGTCCTTTTCTTAATTAGAAAGGATACGTATAACCACCAGTACTAACTTTGACGAAAGGCTAAAGGTTACTCGAAAATGGCCTGCTTCTCGATAGGAGGTTATACTGAAAACAATGGTGTAATTACACAGGTGCTAATCCGCTCGTTATTGATATGCAAAGTTTGTCAACAGGAGGCTTCGTTCTATCTAAATTTCTTTTGTTTGAGATTACACCTCTTTGATTGCAAATGACGTTAACATGTCTTCAATTTTAGTTTCATGCTAATTTTAAATTCATTTGTAATCCCTTCGATAAGAGCTATCGATGTAAACTATTGAGTTGAACAAGTTGCTTTTGCCGCTTGAGGGGACGCCAGAGTAGCTTGCTTAAAGAAATCAAGCGCGTCTACAACAACAAAAGACTTCTCAGAAAACATTTTCTCTCTTTGTTGAGTCAACTTAATTTGCAAGCTAATGCTGCACAGTCAAGATTCATTCTACGAGTTGGAGCAAGTATTGAGAAGTTTACAAGAAAACTTTGAGCCCGGGAGCAAAGTAATTTCCACAGATCCTGTACCTCATAATGGAAGCGACGAGGACGTAGACGAAAAGGGGCCTAAAAAGTTACAAGAAATCCCGGTATTCAAAGTTGAGTTTTGCGATGAGCTATCGGTTGAGGATATATTGATGGAAATATTGCTGCATCAACAACTTCATACATCTAAGGAATACACAATAAACGGTTTGAGTTTTAAGGTTGATGTGCTCGACGACACGGAACTTTGATCAAAGTACGGCGTTTACAAACAAGGTGAAACTGAACAAGACATAGCAAGAAAATCCGAGAGTTTGTTTATACTTTGTAGGCCTTAATCGGGGGGTGTACGCCCCATAATCACCTATACGTGGGTGGAAGGGGGGTTGAACGCTCCGCCAGAAAGAGCTAGGGTACCTTTTTCAGGCATCAGGTACATAGAATGGTAGGGATTTCACTAATTGAAGGGTATTAAAGGGTAGAGAAAATTATCTTTCCGGTCTGTTAAAAGGCCCAAAAAAGCCAACAGATGCATTTTATGGCTGTGAAAATTCGAGAAACGTTCTGGTTTTGTGATTTATTCATATTAAAAAAAATAGTACATTTACTGCAGTTACAAGGGATACAAACTTCTAAAAATTAATAGGCATGTGAAAGGTGTATCATTTGTCAATAAAAGGTATACGAAAGGGGTACCTTTCCAGTCAAAATTAAAAAGAGTATATGAAAGGGTAAGGGATTGGACCTCGGGGCGGAGCCTCTCAGCAGAAAAAAGTACCCCCCTTCCACCTCCTTCGAGATCTTAATACCCCAGCTGGCCAAATTTCTACCTACACTCCATAGGGGATTACAATTTATTTCCAAATTGAACTAATACTACAAAACCGCACAACAAGGAGTAATACTGTATAGCGTTGTAACTTGCACGGCTCAAACGCCACATGCGGCGAACTTATTCAGGTTGGCTGAATTGGGTTTCTTCCGGCCCTGACAGGCACAACGTAAAATTTATCACAGGAAGGGGTATTGGCAACTTTTGTATTTCCTAAAAAATGTAGCCGACCACAGCTCAACATACACGCAATGAGACATTAAGGTGACTCGACCCAGTTTTTTTTGGGGGGGTACCATCCTACTTTGAAGCTCTCTGGTATCCCCACCTTTACTTTTATCGTAAGTCTAACACATACAATGGATAACATATAGATCAATCTACAATATAACATAAAATTTTTGGCGATCGGAGTAAATGTCACGTGGTTATAATGCCACGCCCCTTTGAGGTCTGAGTCGAAAATCGGCTGTTGCCGGCATTTTTTCGTGAAAATCTCTCGGCTACACATAGTGCGCATTAGTGCCTTGCGCTGAACAGAGTTTCACCAAAATCGCAAAGACCCAATTCGAGAAATTCAGCGGTTTCCAAATTTAGGTCATAATTTATGCGAAAATGATAAGCAAACTTTACACGGATTATATCTAATAAAC